AAAAAGACTTATCAGAAAATTCAACAGAAAGATATAAACAAATCTCAGAAAATAATTGTGAAATGTGAAAACCCATGTTTTATAGACACAAACACGAGAAAAAAGATTAAAAAAAAAAACTAAAAAAAAAAAAACTAAAAAAAAATGTATGGATACATGCACACGCAAGGCCTGTCGTGCATGGCCAAATTAATTAACTTTGCTTTGCCTTTTTGACAAGACAAAGCAAAAACATTAAAAAAAAATGAAAAAAAAAACCTAATGCGATTGACAATATAAATTTTACATGGCTTGGCAAGGCAAAGCGCATAGGCGTAACTGAGACGGCTTGACTTGCTCAATCAAAGTTTGGCTCAAATTATATCACGAGCTTGTACCTTGCTTGGCCGGCGACTTGACAACATATTATATTTAATTGAAATTACATTTTTCATTCATTATTGCCCCCGTTTGACACCCATTTTTTTCTCATTCTCATTCTTTTTCTCTTTCTTCATTTCAACCACACATTCTATCAATAAAATAATATTACACATAAATTTAAAAATTCTCCTTACTTTTTAACCACACTTTCTTCCATCAATCACTATTTAAAAATACATTTTTTTCACAAAAATGGGTGTCAAACACCCCCATTATGACAAGTTGACAAACAAATGGAACAAGTGATACATTGCTTGACTTTGCTCGTGGGATGACCCGATGAAGTGATCCACTGAAACGTGTAAACTTACTTAGCAAGCTATGATCTTAGCCTATCTACAGTAGCTCATAGCCCACCTTTTTGTATAAAATAATGCTCTTTAGTACTATACGATTCAATTGAATGATAGATTCACTTAAAAACAATATCACATAATTTATTTAATTAAGAGCTTGTTCAATTTTCATTTTTTCCAAAATATATATTTCTCTATCTTCTTTTCAATTATACATTTTTCAATAAAATAGTATTACACGTAAATTCAAAAATTTTCTTATTTTTTAACAACACATTCTTTATTAATCTATTACTCCAAAATACATTCTACATGGAAAATGGGGTTCGAACAAATCCATCAAATGTAATCACATAAACTGGTACTCTAGCAATATGGGGATGTTTGGGAGAGATTTTCAAATTTTACAGTAAATCAATTCTCATTTTCAATCACACATTGTTCAATAAAATAATATTTTTCATCACATCAATAATTTTTTCTTTTTTTTTCAACCATACATCTCCCATCATATCACTATTCAAAAATCAATTATTCCCCAAAAAATTCCTCCCAAACAAGCTCTATATAGCCCCTGTTTGGTGCACATTTTGGGAGTAAGAATGTATTTTTACTGTTGATGTGATGGAGAATGTGTGGTTGAAAAAGATGGAAAAGTTATTGATGTGATGGAAAATATTGTTTTATTAAAAAACGTATGGTTAAAAATGAGTAGAAGAATGAGAATAAAAAAAATAATGTGACTCAAATAAGGGTATAATATTATTGTATAAGAGGAAGAGCAAACCCCCCCACTCAACCAGCATAAAATTTACTCCCCTATTCCCCATAGCTTGACAAACTACAACTCCTCTCTCTCTCTCTCTCTCTCTAGCTTCATACAATGGGCTATGGCAGGCTCGAGTCTTCATCAACAAGAACCCAAATAGAAAATGAAACCACTTCGAATCCCAAAAAATCCAAGCTCAAAATCCTGTTATTCATTGCAGCCACTCTCATAGTAGCGTCTGCAGTTTCTGCTGCACTTGTAATGGGGCTCCGAACCCGAGCAAATTCCGGGTCAATGCACCCGACCCAAGCCATATCCAGGACCTGCAGCCGGACTCGCTATCCCGCTCTCTGTGTCAACTCACTCATGAACTTCCCTGGCGCACTCTCCGCCTCCGACAAGGACCTCGTTCACATTTCCGTCAACATGACCTTACAGCATTTTGGCAGGGCACTATATATAGCGTCGGAGATCAATAATCTCGAAATGGACACACGGGTCCGGTCCGCGTACGACGATTGTCTCGAGCTTCTAGATGACTCGGTGGAGCTTCTATCTCGCTCCCTAATCTCCGTTGCCCCTGACGGCAGCTCCGTCGGCTCTACCCAGGACGTCATGACGTGGCTATCCGCCGCCTTGACGAATCAAGACACCTGCTCCGAGGGGTTCGACGATTCAAACGGGTATGTAAAAAACCAAATGGGGGACAGATTGAAGGATTTGTCCGAATTGGTGAGCAATTCTCTGGCGATTTACGCCGCGGCAGGCGGCGATGATTTCTCCGGCATCCCAGTTCAGAACAAACGGCGGCGACTGCTGAATTCCGATAATAGACACAAATTGTCGGCAAAACACAAACAGTTCCCGAAATGGTTATCTAGGAGGGATCGAATTCTACTGGACATGCCGGTGTCGGCGATTCAAGCTGATATAATCGTGTCAAAAGACGGCAACGGTACGTACAAAACGATTACCGAGGCGATTAAAAAGGCGCCTGAACACAGTAATCGCCGCACTATAATCTACGTGCGGGCCGGAAAGTAAGTACACTATACTTGAAACAAGTCTCCAAATTTACATACTTATTTTAGGTAAAAAATTTACTTATTTTAAATATTTACTTTTTACTTAAGATTGGCAAAAAAAAAAAAAAGTGGAAAAAGCTTACTTTATTCGATACGCCTTTTATTCCTTCCTTTTTTTCAATAATAAAATTGACTTTTCTGTCCCTGTCACTATGTTTCTTAACTACGTGTCGATGAATTATTTTGCTTGTTCATCTCTGTACATATTTGACCATTGACATCATTTCATCAATCATGAGACATTAATTATTCTTTTCGTGAACTTTTCTTGAAAATATTTTTTTAATATGTATTATTAAATTACAAAAATACACCTCAAGAAGGTCCAAAACAAAGTAGTTAGTCGTTGACTAGAATGATACTTCACATCGTACGTTAGGTCGAATGAAAGTAATTAATGAAAAGACATACGAGTGTAAGCTAAGATTAATACCAAATAATTTTCTGATTTATGCAGATACGAAGAGAAAAATTTGAAGGTGGGTAGAAAGAAGACAAACTTGATGTTTATTGGGGACGGTAAGGGCAAGACAGTCATTTCAGGAGGAAAAAGTGTGCAGGATAACGTGACGACATTTCACACCGCGTCTTTCGGTAAAAATTCCCTTGCTTTTCTTTTCTTTTTTAACCTTTTTCACTTTCAGTTTTAGGTTTTTATTATGAGAAATTATGCAGTAGAATGTGCACGTGGGAGTCTCATGCAGACTTTTAAGGCTGTCTTAAAATTCCCATGCTTATCTATTTTTTATTAGAAATAATCACAAGTTACTTGTTTTTTAAGTAAAATATAAATTAAAAATAATTAACCTTTTTTACAAAAAGGCAAGAGTATTTACCATTTTAGCGGCCGTATGGCATGTATAAGAAATTTAGCTTATGTTTGGCTTATATTTTATAAACAATCAAATCAATTTTTATCCACATATTTAGAAGGATTCACAAGTATTGACCGCTCACGTGACATCATATGAAGGGTGGAGACGGGGTTTTGCCTGATAACATAATTCAAATGACATTCATTTGAATAAAAATCAAAGAATACTTCCTCATCCACCTCAATATTATTCATTTGCTAGATTTTTTATATGGGTTATGCTACAAGTACATGGGCTGTTTTTACAGGCCCCTGCCAAACAACTCACAAGGGGGGTGGGGTCATCTTTTTTTTTAACGCAGAGGTGGGCCCGGCTCTGCAGTGAGTGGCGTGTAAGGCCCCTGTGAAAATGAAGCATGTACATGGGGCATAATCCTCTTTATATAGTGTAACACAATGATACATATTTACGTCTATAAACAATTGCATTTATGTTGATCAATGTATTCAACGCGATGAACTCATCGGTTCTGAATAAAATTGGATGAGTTCTGAATAAATTTAAAGTCTTATCTAATTATTATGTACGATATATTGGTTATAAAAAAAAAAACAAACATATGATTTCTGGAAAATAAAGAAATAGATTGAAATTATCAATAATATATAAATATGAGTGGCTAGAATATAAAGATGGTGATATAATTTGTGTGTCATGGCACATGGAAATGTCATTGTTGGAGGTCTTTGTCTACAGGACATGGGGTACTGCAATTAATTGTTTTTCTTTTTTAACTATTTAACATTAGACTAAACTATTATTATCTAATTCTAGCGTGCAAAGGTTGTTGGAGATTGAATTAGTATAATGTAGTAGGTTTGGTCCACTAATAGTGAAATTTTCCCTATGACTTGTTCAAAACTTTCTCTACAGATATGGTGGAATTTGATAGAATTCATTGGTGGGATGAAAAAAAAATAAAAATGGACAAGATGTTTAAGGAAGAAAAAGAAATTGTAATCGTGTCTATCATACTGTCCAGTGAATAAATGGAATTTTTTTCATATTCTAAATGTTAAAGATTAATAAATTTCATGTTCTTTTTTACCAGCTGCAACTGGCGCTGGTTTCATTGCAAGGGACATGACATTTGAGAACTGGGCAGGACCAAGCAAGCATCAAGCAGTAGCCCTTCGTGTTGGTGCAGATCATTCGGTTATATACAGATGCAGTGCTATTGCGTATCAAGACACCCTGTACGTCCATTCGCAGAGACAATTCTATCGTGAATGTGACGTGTACGGGACCGTAGATTTCATCTTTGGCAACGCTGCAGTTGTATTCCAAAACTGCACACTTTATGCCAGAAAACCTATGGACCTTCAGAAGAATACAATCACTGCCCAGAACAGAAAAGACCCTAATCAGAACACAGGTATTGTTGAACCAACAAGATCATGGATGTGCTTAAAAGTTATGTTTCTAGAAAGTAACTAAAAATATTAACTTTAGAACTAGCATGTTTGACTTCCGTTTAAGCACAAACTAACATGCTCGAAAAGTGGAAGCTGTTAGATACAAGGAAAATACATATGTAGGTCGATTCATTTTTCTATCAATATGTGCACAATTCATTGTAAATGAGTGGTGGCGAGATTTGTTCCTACACTATGGTGAACTATCCCTGCCAGAAGGGAGAGAATTTACTTATTTGAATTTGTCTTGAACAGGTATATCAATTCACGCTTGTAGAATTCTACCAGCACCAGATCTTCAGGCATCGAATGGAAGCTTTGCAACCTATTTAGGCCGGCCATGGAAAATGTATTCTAGAACAGTGTATATGATGTCTTACATTGGCAGTCATGTTCATCCTCGTGGATGGCTCGAGTGGAACGAGACTTTTGCTCTCGACACATTGTACTATGGTGAGTACATGAACTATGGTCCAGGTGCTGCTGTGGGACAGCGCGTTAAATGGCCAGGGTATCGGGTTATAAAATCTGCAACAGAGGCAAGCAAATTCACCGTGGCACAGTTTATTTATGGATCGTCATGGTTGCCTTCCACAGGGGTCGCTTTCTTGGCCGGGTTATCAACTTAAAAACAATGACATTCAATATGTACGTAGAGCTGAATAATGCTGCACAGGGCAACGAACACGCTTTTAAATTCCTTTTCTTCTTAACACTATCTACTCGTGTCTAGTCGAGCCTACCAAATATTGATTGGTGTAATCATATATAGATTTGTGAGATATCCACTTCATTTGTTGAAGTGACTCGCAGAGTTAATTGATAGTCCAAGAATTACCACAGTATTGGAGGTTAGTTTCATCAAGTGTTTACAAGAATGTAATGGTTGAATACTGTAATTTTTACTGAAATGATAATTTGGACTTTTTACATTGTGGAACGAACGAATGGATTTTCTCTATTTCACGTTTTTGTTTATCTTTTTCATTTTTTTTCGTACTTATTGATTTTCATATTATTAAATAGTTACTTAATTTTTTTTTGAGGAGTATCTCAAATTTTTATATTTAACCGATACTTCTCTTAAAATGCCATTGCAAGATGACGGCTCATGTGAGAATATTAATTTTGAATTTCGAATGTTCATTTGAAATTTAGGCGAATTAAACTACTCGTTTGAACTTATTGAACAAGGCAATGACTTAACTTTTTTGTTTGTCGGAATCTTGGGGGTTGTTCTCTTCGTGTTTCAGCTTTGAGTTTTGAATTTATTTTGGATTTTGTGTTTTGAGTGTCCATTTTGAGATTGCTGAAAATATATTCTTTTTGTCGTTTGAAAAATTATTTTCTAAAATAAAAAAGTGGAAAACTTGTTCTTCTTCCTCTATCTTTCTCTCCTTCCCCTTATCTCTCGTCTCTTGCTCTTCTTCCCCTCATCTCTGTCGTCTCCCTCGCAAGGTCGCCGGCGCCGAAGACCACGATGGAGCTATCGCGGTGGTTTGGTGCGTGGTGGTCAACGATTTTTGTTATGAATTGGGCTGTCTCATAATTCTTTGGCCCAGTTGATTGTGTTGGGCTAGTGCTGTACCAGATCTTTGGCCCAAAACTTATTTCTCTTGGCTTTGTGATCTGACCATACACTTGGCCAAATCTCCACCATTGGTGAAAACCCTTGGATTCCCTGCCTTAAAGTGACTCTCGGAGCTTCATTCTCTGTGGAACTGATCAGTGTCTTTTGAGAGATTTCTCTGTGTGTGATTAAGGTTCATCTCTTTCTTTCTGTCGTTTTTTAAATCCAAGTGATGTCTGTATATTTCTGAGTGATAAGGTAGTGAGGACACTTGATCTATTTTCTATGAGATTGTGTATATTTTGAGTGATTTGAGGAGAGAACAAATTGAAGAAATCTCTGATTTCTTCATACACCGTCATCTGTTTTTTGGTGATTTTTAGTGAACTAGAGCTTAATCCATTTGTGTGGATGCTCAATGGGGTGAGTAGGCCGAAAGCTGAACATCGGGCTCTTTGGGCGAAAAATTCCGTGTTATTCTTTATTTTTCGCGATTTACTGTTTTAAATTGTGTTCTTTGTGAACTCTAGGTCCAACAAGTGGTATCAGAGCCACCATTAGTTGTAGATCTGTGTTGGCGTTCGATTTTTCAGAAACCCTAATTTTTCAAAATTGTTTGACTGTATAGATCTTATGATTTCTAAAACGATCTTTGTGGAAAATAGTATCCATGGGTTGAGTTTTCTAATTCATCTTTAAAATAAGTTTCTTTAAAAAGTGTTAAGGTTTTTTATAAACTGGTCTGTGTAATTTTTCTTGAAAATCGTTGCTCCTGTGGGATATTTTCTTTGATCTGGTGTTCCTACTGAGTTTGTGGTGTTCTTGATCCAACTCAGTGCTAAGTCGTGGTGACTTGTTTGACTCATACTGAGTCGTGGTAAGTTGAGTTGACTCGTTCAATTCCACCGAGTTTTCACCAAGTCTGTGTGACTCGTTGCTTCTTGCACCTATTCTGAGGCTTCTTCTCATCTGCGACTGGTATTCTCTGAAACTCTCTATTATTTTCAGTATCCTGTGACATTTCTTGGAACTTGTTATTAAGGTAAGTGATCCCCTCATGCTTTCCTTTGTCCAAGATCTCATTGAGAATCTGAGGGAGCATGGGATAAAAAGGTTACCACCCCTTAAACATTTTCAAAAATTGACGTTTCCTGCATGATATTATTGTCACTGGTTGATCAATTGTAAGCACTTATCATATTCTGTGATTTCTTGAAGTCTTTTCTCATACTGTCAATACTTGTTAGTTACTGTGTGGCATATTATTTGATTCTTATTTGTTTATCTTTAATAATGTCTACTGCACATAAGTTTGAAGTAGAAGTTTGGAGGGGGATTGGGGATTTTAGTTTATGGAGGCAGAAAATGAGGGCTTTGTTGTTAGGGCTGTCAATGGATCGGATTTTGATCCGAATCCGATCTGAATCCGACGAAATTAATGGGTGATGGATTTAGGGTCTCAATCCGATAACCCGATCAAGATTCGAATTTAATAATCCGTTAACTAAATGGATTAAATATGGATATAGGTCAATCCGATCCGATAACAATCCGATCCGATTTGTTATAAATAATTGAGATAAAATATTTTTATGGTATATTATTTGTCACTAAAATAAATAAATTTAGAATAAAAAATGATCAAATTCAAAACATAAAAAAGTTTTAAAAATTTATAATTATTAAACTTATTTAAGAATTGGAAAATTAAAAAAAAA